GTGTGTTGGGTAAGAGAAAGTCCCTTCTTGCCAGTTTATGGCCTTCCTCTCCTGGGAGAACAGCAGCCTCTAGTGGCTTGTGCTGGGCAGCTGCATGCAGATGGGGCTTCTGATCTTGCCCAGCCGCTATGGAGTTTATTTAGCTCTGCAGTTGCTGTGGACATGGCTGGCCTCAGGCTGCTGCTCCAATATGGCGGAGCCGCTTCAGCGGGGGACCAGGCGGGAGGTTGTTTATCGCGGTGAGGGGCCTCCAAGCTGCGCTGCGAGGGTTCAGGCACCCACAGCTCCCTGAGGTTCACAGCTGCTGGGCTAAGTGTCCCAGGGCACTTCCGTCCAGCTGTGGGGTCCCTGTCTCTTTAAGACTGTCAAAAAGCACTCGCTTTTCTTTGTCCCAGGTGCGCCGGCTGTGGGGACCCGCTCACAGGTCTTACTGTCCTGTTTCCCTAGTATCCAGCACCCCATGCATGCACTGTGTCTGCGCTCTGGTGCGGATGGCTGGGGCTGGCTGATTAGCAGTCCTGGGCTCCCTCTCCCTCCCCGCTCCGACTTCTCTTCTCCTGCCCGGAGCTGGGGTGTGGGGCCTCGGGTCCCGCCGGGCCAGGGCTTGTATATTACCCCCTTTGCGAGGCGCTGGGTTCTCGCAGGTGTGGATGTAGTCTGGATGTTGTCCTGTGTCTTCTGGTCTCTCTTTTAGGATTAGCTGTATTTGTTGTATTTTCAAAAATATATTTGGTTTTGGGAGGAGATTTCCGCTGCTCTACTCACGCCGCCACCTTGGTTCTCTTCTTTTGGGGGATACTTATATTTTTAAAAATCAAGAGCCACTTTCAGATAAAAACCCTATTTGAGTCATGATACAATCATCATTTCTACTTTTTTCTTATACAGAAGTGTGCACCTTTTTATTTCTATCATTTTTGGTCATAAAATAAACTTTTTCACATCTCCCTGCCTAAATCAGGGTTCACTTTACAATTGATCATGTGTTGTTTAATTAAAAGCATTTTTGTAGCTCAACTTTCAAAATATGAAATAAAAACAATATCCAGAGGAATTTGATGAAAGAATAATACTGGAAGAGAGGGCCAGCTATATTAGATGAAAAGCGAATTTGAAAATGCAGTAGTTAAAACATTGTGGCTTTAGTGTATGAGGAGGTAGATCAGTGGAACAATATAGGAAATATAAATACATCAAAGTGTGTTTAGTATATTTTAAAGCATATTTTAAAGGTGGCGTTTCAAATCATTGGGAAAAATGGATTTTTCAGACTGTAATTTAGGGACAATTGAAGAGATGTGTGGAAAAAAATTAAGTTGAATCTATGCCTTACACTTGGTTCAAAGATTTAAATGTAAAAATGTGAAACCATGAGAGTAGAAGAAACCGTGGAAAAATTGTTACAATCTAAGGATAGATTTCTAAAACTACAGGAAAGCCTAGAAACCATAAGAGATTGGCAGTTTTGACTGTAAAAGTAATGTTTACATGGCATAAGCTATTGTAAGCAAAGATAAAAATTAGGTCACAAACTGGATAAATACATTTGCAGTTAGCAGACACATAGCTAATTTCTCTTCATACATAAAAAGCACTGAAAAGAATATGAAAAAGGTCAGTCATATTTAAAAGTGGTCAAAGGATATGCTCTGATAGTTCATAGTAAAGGAAATAAAAGTAGATCATAAATATATGAAAAAATGCACAGTCATAACAAAGGAAGTTGGGACTAAAACTGCACTGAAAGTATTTTGGAAAGGCTATGAGAAAACATACTTTTCATGATTAGAGGACACTTTGGCTAATTTGGCAGTATTGATCAACATTGCAAATTTTACTTGAAGAACTGACCCAGAATGATGTCTGTTTCTCAGGCAGCATTGTTTATTGTAATAAAAATTTAAACTAAACCTCCATCAATGTCTGTCAAAAGGGGACCAGTTAAATACATTAAGAAATATCCGTAAAATGGAATACTGAATCTCTATAAAATCTGCTAAGAAGATTTCTTGTATTGATAGAGAATGCTCTCAAACACATATTGTTGAATGAACATTAGTACAGACTGGGTATGTATTATGGTATCATTTGTGTAAAGGTTGTGTGTCCAGAATTCTGTCACAATATACCTCATTTTGTGATATGAAAGAGATGGCCAGTTCTACATTTGAATTGCAGATTAATATGCAACAACCTTAACTTTTTCTACAGTAAACTTAAAATATTTTATAAGAATCTTAAGGTTAAAAATATATCACACCAAAAAATCCAGTAAATTTGGCACTGAAGCAGTATTATGTCTAGGAGAAAAAGTGCTCTTAGGATATACAAGAAACCGACAGCATTGGTTGTCTATGGAGCAGGGGATCTGAGTGGCTGAGGGACAGAAGTATGAGGGAGACCATACTGTATACCCAACTAACTGATTTGAATCTTGATTTAAAATTTTACATTTTAATACCAGGAATTTAAACTTACATCAGATACATTGTGTCAAAAGGAAACAAGTCAGATGAAAGAAAAGTAGAAGATGGATAAAGTAAAAAATAAATATTAATGTGAATTAGGGTGTTCTCAACTTCTGATGTTTAATTTGACTTCATACACCCCAGCCAGTTATCCATTACTATGTTTGCTGCATGATATTCCAGTAAACTAATTATCTACCATTAACAGTGACTTAACTTTTGACTTGATACATTCTTGTACCTCTAGAGGTAAAAAATATAGTCTTAAATAAATATAACTTTAATGGTTTCTAATATTTCCTCCTTAAGTCAACAAAATGGATTTGTTGACAAATAAAAGTAGATGCAGTTCTGTTTAAAATTTCATGTTACCTACTTTACAGAACAGTAGGAAAACACCTTTTCCTATTAAATGCAGTTAAAAAATGTTGAGAGTTCTGTTTAGGTAATAATTGAAATATGTTTAAAATACCAATTATAGCTTCTCTACATTTTTGTAAAACATCTGTTTTGTGTTTTTTTCCTGAAATGTGTTCGTACATTAATTTGGTGTGTAAGTTTAGGTCTTGGCAAATGGAACATAAATAGCAACTATACCTCCAATGTAATTTCATGTGCCCTTTGATCATGTGATAAATTTTCTTTAAGCTTATGGTATTTCTGAAAGGAAGTTTTTGTTTTTCTGATATTCCTTGGATACAATTTCATCAAGGAACTTAGAGAAAACATTTTTTTCCCCCTTGTCACAGTTTGATTTTATACTTGATATAGAGAAGGATTTTATTTATGGATGTAATAAATTTGAAATTTCAGATTAATACCTGTGCATGGCTTAAGTTTATCAAAACCTTCTCCCAAAAGTATTTATATGCACATTTATTTATTTTGTTTAAGGGATCCAATATTAAGCAACATCTGAGTTTATGTGCTTTACTTTGATTAAAACAAATCACAAAGCATTGCTCTGATCACTTGCTTTTGTGTAAAGATAGAATGGTTACATGGAGATGAGTATTTACTTGAGCATTTACAACATCCGTTAAAATATTTTCTCAAACTATTGGCTGTAGTCTGTTTGATACACTAGCATAAACCAAGAATGAACTTTTATATTCAGATGAATATCTCTAGGAATTGATTGGACACACAGTTACCTTATAGAAGGGGAAACTTGGTTTCTGGATAAGTCAAGCTGAGGGTTGGATCTCGCCTTTGAGTGGATTTGAATGCATCCTATAATGCAATGTTTTTAGCTAGACTGTGGGTGGTTTTTCAGATGTCTAAGTTTACAGAGTAATAGATATTTTATATTATTTTTTCTTGTGAATTATTAAGAAAGCATATGGCAGATTCCAATTGTATCCAAGCAATAGCATACATAACTCTTAAGAGTGCTAATTTGAGTCTGATAATATATATATATTTTTTAATCTTAGAAGTAATTTTTTATGAGTCTTGGGGTTCAGGAAGCATCACTTTTTTTAAGGGCCTATAAGGTATGTTTCATGGCAAATTGATTTCTGAAAGTAAAATAAATTTTTGTTTAATGAAGACATTTGTAATAAAGTTTTAATTCTGAGTTACCAACACTAAAAGCTTCCCAGATACCTTCTGCATTGGTTGTGATGTTTTCTCTTTCTTCTTAAGAGTTGTCTCTGTGGAAAGTTTGTCCTCCGTCCAGTACAACCATGCCGTAGATACTCTTCTTCGGGAAGTTCTAGGTATGTAGTATATCTCCTTGTAAGCGAGCTTGTAGCTGTGCTAAGAGGCGTGTGTGTTTGTGTTTTGTTAAGGGGTATGAACACCAGAGCTTTGCTGTAATACTTTTTGGAGTATTATTTATTTCTAGGTGAAAATTTATTACAATGCACCTTTTAGTTCTTTGGTAATTGGATGGCCTCTAAGGCACACCTCCCCTACCCTCCTTACCATTTTATGCAAATAGATTTAGGTCCAGAACACAGCACATTATAACTTAAAAAGTGTTTGTTGTATTTGATATTTGTATTATCTTACTTTTGTAAAGGGTTTATTTTACTGTATTTACATAAATGTTTTAAGGGGAGAGGAGCTTTGAAAGGTGGTGACATAAAGGAAATCTCATGTTTGTGAAATCTTGAATTTTAAGTATTAAAGGGTAGATTGCTTCATTCTTCCTATTTGAGATACACATGTATTTAAAGAAATTTTAGTTACCCATAAGTAAATGTTATTTCTATTGCAGACATTTTAAAACAAATCAGGGAAAGGTGCAGCTGTGGTGATAAACTTGGCTGCTGGGATCTGAATCTGTGGTAGAGAAGTAGAGGTTGGAGGTCTTCGAGACTTTATGTTGGTCTAGGGAAGTAGGTTTAGGAAAGCCAAAAATATAAATGTTTCCTATTTCTTTGACTTAGGTTGTCTTCTGGCAAAATTGCTGGAGCTGGCCTTCTGTTTGTTGGTGGAGGTATTGGTGGCACTATCCTATATGCCAAATGGGATTCCCATTTCCGGGAAAGTGTAGAGAAAACCATACCTTACTCAGATAAACTCTTTGAGATGATTCTTGGTTCCCCACCTTATAATGTTCCATTGCCAAAGAAGCCGGTAAGAGTTTTACATTTTTCAGTTTATTTTAGTTTATCCTATGGGGTACTTTTAAAAGCAGGTTGTTTTCATCTTGAGAATATCTTGTATGTATAATTCAGTAGAACTTGCAAGATGTATGTTTGCCAGTTTTCTTTATCATTAATCTGTGGAGTTGGGTTTTTATTCCTTTGGAGTCACCTAACTGGCCCCATTTAGTGCATACCACATAGAAAATAATTGTGTGGCACCCAAGGTGAGTGGGGAGGCAGCTCAGGCTGAAGTTGCCCTGCCTGCCCTGTGGACTGAGGGGCACACTGTTTCAGCTATCAAGCTCTGATTTAAAACACTAAAAACATTGACATAGGGTGGCCATGACACAGAGCCCAAATGTTATATGTAGTTAGTATTGGTTCCTTTCAAGCCACAAAACAGTCACAAGTTTTTCAGCTACACACTGATTGAGTCACAGGAATATCCTCCAGTAATCCTGGAACTTTGTGCATATTCTTATGAGTTTCATCCTTTCCCATCAAGTTTAAATTTTTTTTAAAACATCTTAAATATTTCTTCAACAACTGCTTGAAAAAAAATTTACAAAAGAGAGCATGGGTTTTTGCTGATTTGATATTGGGCATTTCTTTATGCTGTGAGCTGGTCAGTTCTTTCTTAGACCTGGGTGAACTTATTTTCCAGTATCTAGCATAATCTAGAGACCAGTCCTATAACCATCATTATTTGGAAAAGCAAATTTCCTCTGATCCATGCATTCCCCAATCACGTTTTTTCAAAATGTTCTTGGTTAGTCTTCTACATCATTTATTCTTCCACGGACTTTAAAATATCTCTATGGGTGAGGGAGACAGTTTTGCAACTTGTAGTCAAGAAGCAGATTCCTGTGGATTCATTCTAAAATCCTGGGTCTATTTTAAGCCACATGACCCAGGAGAAATAGCTGGAAGCAATTGTGGGAGCATGAAATCAGGCTGAACTGTTCAGAATATTGTTCTTTTCATGCTTGACATGATTTCAAGTGTCATTCTTTGTAATGACCCCTTTATCCTTCTCAATATCTTTGCCCTTTTCTCACTCCACTTTAGCTACCCTGGTCAACATTTCTGCTTGGATTACTTGGCAAGTCTTTACGAATCACCTCAAAACTTACACTCTTTTTGGTTGCTTTTTTTTGTATCAAATGTAGTACCATGCTGTCAGATATCTATTGTTAGAATTCTTGAATTCCTCTTCATACTTGTTTGTATTTTGTTAGCTATCCTATTTTGTTTAATCTCTGGTATTTATTCTTTTTCATATCCAAATTAGCCTCCAAACTAGACCTGTTCCTCTTCCCTCACATGGCTTTTCCCATCTTCCTCCCAGTCTCCAACCCCCATCCAACCAAACTCTCCTAACATAATCTAGGCCAACCTCATATCAATACCAGAGAATATTCTAAAATACATGCTGTCATGGTTCCATGGTATTTTTATGATATCACTGATTATCAGGAACTTTTATCCATTTCCTATTGTTTAAAGGATAGAAGACCACAGAGTGTAAAAACTAGAGAGATTTTAGAGATTGTTTAACGTTCTGAATAAGGAAAGTGGAACCAGAAGTGGTTAAATGTTAGCCTAGTGTCAGGCTGTTGGTTCCTTCTGTAGGTGGTGATTTTTTACTGCTTGTTAGGTTGACATTCAATATGCTTGACAGTCTGGCTCTTTACCTTTCCAGCCTTATCTCTGAATGGTCCTCTACATAAAATTTTCGCTTTGTGCCATTTACTTTACAAATAAGCTGTGTGCTTTCCATTCATTCATTTATTCAACATATGTCAATCAAGTGATTATTATGTACCAGGAAGCAATGTCCCAAGGGCCTATGCTAAAACAGAGAACTAAAGACCATTTCATTTGCCTCAGCTCTTCTCATGGTAGTTTTCTGTCCAGAATGAGTCCTACCTTTTGCCTACTAGTGTTCCTTTTAATGCCTGCCTCCTTCACTACATAGACCAAAGTGAATTTTCTTACCTCTGAATTACAGTGGCAATTAGTGTTTTTATTTTTAATTACCATTTATTTAGTCATCTGTACTCTCGAACACTGTTAACCAGCTTGTTGCTTTTAGAAACTATGCATTTTATTTCGTGATAACCCTTTTAGTGCCAGCATGGTTATTTATGCATAGATAGTAAATACTGAGAGAAGATTAACTTAAAGTCTTTTGATGGACATGGAATAATACCTGCCTAAATGGAAACAAATATGTCCCTGGATGGGACTCAATTTCATAAAATTGTCATTTCTCTCAAATGTGTATTTCTCTTAAATTTGTATATATTTGCAAGAAATGACTTTTTATGATGTATTCAGGCACATCTAGTAAAAATTTTAATGAATTTTTTCAAAGGTTGAAGAGTAAGACAAGGTGATTTTAAAGCTCATATGGAAGAATAAATAATATACAAGACTTGCCAAGAACATTTTGAAAAGATGTTGGGTTGGGGAGGGGTCAGAGGACACTTGCTTTTCCAGATACTGACTTTGTTATAATCCTACTTCAATAAAACAGTAAGATTTTGACACAGGATTGGATAGTAGAGGAATAGAACAACTGACTCTGGAAATCATGTTTATACACAAACACATTTATTGTGAGTGTGAGTTGCTGGAACCTTCTGTGAAAGTGATCTGTTAATATCTGTTAAAAATATACAACTTCCTTTGACCCAGCAATTCCTCTTCTGTCAAACTATCCTACAGATACCACAATACAGTGCTTTTCATGGACACGGATGTTTAAGGAAACAATGCAGGAAATCATTTGAATGTCCAAAAGTACTACATTAGGGTCTGCAATTAAATTAGGATATTATACAGCTAAAAAGAATTTCTTGACCCAGAAGAGAATGCCCATGATATATATTGTTAAATGAAAAAAAAAAGTTACATGGTAATTTGTATAATATAACCCTATTTTAGTTTGTTTGAAGAAATGATAAATTGTATATGTTTATGTACCTGAGCTTATGGTTAGGGCAAGGATAGATTTCAGGCTTTTATCAGTAAGTAGCTGGGTAGAGTGCAGGATAAAGAGGCAAAAACCAGTGATATATCTTGATATTATTTTGCTTGTTATACTGAGCATGTATTTCATGATTTAAAAAATAATAACATTTTAATAAAAGAAAATGCGTATTTCCAGTTTCTGGTAGTGACAAAGTTCTGATTCATTTCTGTTATGTTTGAGTAGTCATATTAGGAATGTCTGAGTCTCACTACCAAGTTCTGGCAAAAAGTGGAACAATGTAGATTGTAAATGACAATATTGCTATTGCTCAGCAATTTTCTCTAGCACATCACCTGGCAGTCCTGTTAATGAACAGGTGCCTTGAACTTAAGGCAGGTGGAAATCGAGGAAGAAAAGAGTGGATATTACTCACAGTTGGGTTATGTATTTTAGTGTGCAGTTGCATGAGTCCTGGAGATTAAAGAAGCAAAAACTAATTTTCATATGACTCAGAGCCTCTAAAAATAATTTGTTTCTAGCTGAATGTACACAGAAGACAACATAGTTTGATTTAGAAAGCAAATGAAAAATAGCCTTCTCGATGTAAACGTAAAAGGAATGGTCTTCAAAAGAAAGGTCGTACACCATGTACTTTATTAGTTACATTAAAAGAAAACTTTGTTACTACTAGAATATGGCCTAGTCATTCGGAATAAAGTTTTTGGATTACATTTTTTTGTATGATGGCTTCTCTTACTATGGTTAATAAAATAAATTATTGTAGAGTGTTAACTTCGTGTTAAAAGCCTGAAAACCTTGACTTTTGAAATAATGCAAGTTATTGTATGCTCCCTTTTTAAAAAGCTAGTATTGTACCTGAAGTATTAAAGCTTTTTCATTTCCAAGATTCAGTCTGGTCCACTGAAAATCTCTAGTGTATCAGAGGTAATGAAAGAATCAAAACAGCCTGCCTCACAACTCCAAAAACAAAAGGGCGATGCTCCAGCTTCAACAACAGGTATCTATATTTAGAATCATTCTTTTAAAATTACACATAAATGAATTGTTTTACTATATTTGTTTCTATGGTCAAGAGGGGTATTTCTCCCCATGGAGAATTCTCTTGGTCTCTAGCTATTTCCTTGGGGAAGGAGAGTATTCTCACCTCTCTTTTTAGGGGTTGAGTGGGATACGGACATTACTGTGAACAGTTGCTGAGTGAGGGTAATGGTAAGACTTGTCTTACCTGCAACAAACTATTTTTCTTTTATATTTGTTTCCTCTGACTCCAATCCTTTTCTCTCTTTAGATTTTAGTCTTACTCTCTTTTGCCACTTCTTTTATCTACCTCTTCACAATTCTATCCTCCCTTCTTTCTTAATGATGAAAATATCTTGATCTGCAGGTATTTTTTTCTTTCATGATTTAGCATTAATCCCACCCTAATTTGTAGCATTAACCTGACTCTAACCTGCTCAGTGCACGTTTGTTTTCCTCAATTACTTCTGCCTTTGATTAAATCACTTGACTTTCATTCAGCAAATGTTCACTGATTGTTGTGTGCCAGGCAATCTAGGTACTGGGGCTGTAGCAGTGAACAAATAGTAAAAACAAAAACGAACTCTGAATATTTCTTCGTAGGATGAGGAGAGGGAGATCATATGTAAATATATAAGTAATATGCAGAATGTCAGAGAGTGATAAGTGTGGGAGGAAATATGCTAATTTTAAATGGAGTGGGTAGGGAAAGTCTGACCAGGAAGGTGTCATTTGAACAAAGGCTAGAAAGAGGTGAGGGAGGGAGTAAGTCATAAAAGTCTGGTGGGGGAAAAGCATCCCAGGCAGAGGGATTAGCTAGGGCAAAGGCTTGGTATATTCTACTGAGGAGCACTTGGGGCTGGAGTGTAATAGAGAACTGTAGCAAGTGAAATCGGAGAGGGAGCAAAAAGCCTATTTGGCAGTCCTTGGAGGCCATTATAAGGATTTTGCTTTGTTTTCTGAGTAGGATGGCAAGGTGTCAGGAGGGTTCTGAGCCAGAGAATTGATCTGACTTTTATTCTAATATGCTCACTGGCTGTTGCTGAGAATAGAGAATGGCAGAGCAGGAGACCAGTTAATGGTCTTTGTAATAATCTGGCTTTATTTCTTAAAATAAGACCTTTGGTTTATTTAAAAGTTTTTTTCTCCATGTTGTTGCTTCTTCCTTCCTCTACCCCATTCTTCCTCTAGAATTATTCATTTTCTGTTCCATCAACACTTATTTATAATTCATAAGCTCTTGATTTTTCTCAACTTTCTTTCCTTTAAAAATAAGTATGAAATAATTTTTTTAACAAGTTCTGTTCTTTACTAACTCAGTGTCTTCACTCACTGTGTTTAAAACTATCATCCTCTCCTTACTCACCCCTCTTCTTTCATCTCTGCCACTCTTCAAAAACAATTAAAAATAATTTTCAGTTATTTTGTTTTGTCTGCCTTCTTCATTGCAGGCTCTTTTCTCCTTTATTGTTGTTTTCCCATGTTATGCAAATCTTTTGTCCATTTCTCATGTTAAGATATAGTACCATTTAGTATTGTTACTAGAAGACTTACTTGAGAATAGTGATGGTTAAAATGCAGGTGGATGCTAACAAGACTTCTTTCTCTTGTGCTTTCCCAGCCATTGTCCATTTTGGGTGGGTTTGTGTATGCAGCCAACAGTGCCTGTATCTGTGTTTGAATAGTGGCAACACATGCATTTATGTCCCTTAGGAGTCAGATGTGAAGGGGGTAGTAGTAGTAGTAGATTCCTGTGGTTTTTCAGTTAACCCAAGAAACTATAAATACCTTAAGTAACATATATTTATAGCACCCACAGAAGCAGCTCAAATTATTTCTGCAGCAGGTGATACACTGTCGGTCCAAGTCCCTGCGGTTCAGCATGAGGAATCTATAAAAACTGATCACCCTGAAATTGGTGAAGGAAAACCCAAGCGTGCAACTTCAGGTAGTTAAATTATTTATATATGTGGTTTTGTAAATATGTTCATCAGAACTACTAAATTACTAGGCAACCCCTAGACTCTATGTAAGTACACATTTATACTGGTTTTAAGCCTGCATATATGCTTAGGGAATTTTAAAAATTTCAAAGTCTGAGTAAGTCTTTGAAAAAAAGGAGTTTAAGAGCTGATCCCTTATTTCTTCATGTTGGAATCATTGACTGATGGTGTGGTTTTAGAATCCTTATCGCAAAAATACTCTCAGTTGATACTAGCTGGCAGGTACAAACAATAGTGTTTTATATCACTGTTAGCTTTTGAAGTTCTGTGCTGAAATTTGATTTCCTCTTATTTACTTTTGTTGCAAGAGGAAGCATCCTCAACTTCTGTAAGGGAGCGACCAGCTGAAGAAGTTGCAGCTCGCCTTGCACAACAGGAAAAGCAGGAACAAGTTAAGATTGAGTGTATGTAAACCAGACAGCTTCTTAAGTACCTGGGGTCATTTCTATCAGTTGCTCTCTTCTTCAACCATCAGCATAAGTTTCCCATCTATTAGCTAGTTGTGGTTTCTTTTGTTGCTTTAGTCACAGTGCTCTATTCACCATCTTTATTTCATCTTTTGTGTTCTTTCCATCTAAATTTCTTTTACCCAGGTGACAAGGTTTATTCTTAGTGTACAGTTGGTGACGCCTCCAAATAATACATGTACTTCCTCCATTTGTTTTTATAATGGTTAGTACTGAAGATTCTTTATACTCTGGGCAACAGAAATTATTTTGGTAACTTGCCTAAGAGTTTTTTAATTGTTAAATATATCAGTTTATTTGTGCAGGTCAGAATGGCTAACGCTCTGGTTTATTGCCCAGCCTTTGGACTCGCACTCCAGTAGCCCCTTCTCTGACTGTGGTAGCAGGTGGAACATGCCACACATAGTTGGTTTCCAGCTAACTGAAGCATATTCCTAAGTTTCAGTTTTATGTTTTTTGATGGCTTAAGAAAAGATGATATCTAAAAATATATTTTCCTATCTTAGTGGAATGCATTTTATTGTATTGTGCTGCATGAAGTACATTGATGTCTCTGGAGGTAGAGGTTATGTAGCTTATTGTTGGACTGGGAGGTATTTGTTTTAAATTCTTATGGCAGCTGTTTATAGTTTTTTTTTTTCTTCTCTCCACATCATTTATTACTGTTTGTCATTTTGCCTTGAGTAGTTTCTGTTTTCCTTCTAAAGAGTTGGTTCTGCCCTATTGTAAGGATGCAAGATAGAATTGTTTAAGGGGTAGAAGGGGCAGAATGAGCATAGGTGTAGGGCATTAGTTCAGCTGCTTGGATTTTGGTATTTGCTTTTGTCTTTTGCATTCTTCTGAGTTCCTAGTCATGTTGCAAATAATTGAGTATGTTAAATAAATGATTTCTAAATAAGTGAAATGTTTCCGTACTTTCTTCCTATTTCCTAATTTTTCCTGAATTCTCTACTACTTCAAATCAAGATAATTTTTTTCTCTTACTCATATTTTTCTATACTTTCTACTTCTCTCCTTTTATCTTATGGACACCTTGAAGTAAGTCATAAATTTAAGATGGGCTCTTTGTGTTGTTTTATCGTGTCCCTCTTTCTTTTGTCCAGTTCTTTATTTTGGGAAGTGAGAAAGTTTTTAGAATTTTGTGCATTACCTCTTAGTTTTCTCCCAAACTTTACTTAAAAAATTTGAGTGTGTATGATTTTTATTAAGAATCAGAGCACAAAAATATCAAGTGGGGCTGCATCAAACAAAAAAATGTACATACAACAACAAAAAAATCAACAGAAGGAAAAGGCAACTATGGAGCAGGAGAAAATATTTGCAAACCATGTATCTGATTAGGGGTTAATAATGTAACATATATATATGGAACTCATATACACATAACAAAAACAAAAACAAAAAGCAGGCACAGCAAATAGACCTTTGAAGAGGACTTCACGCCAGCAACCTGAACTCCTGGGATTTGTAGGCCACTGTGAAGTGGTTTACTTGCACTTGGATGTCCACCATTAACTCATCCATGTTCCCTCCCTAGCCTCTCTCCTTGTAGCCCTCCTTTACATCCCTCTCTTTATATCCTCTGTGTCTTTAGTTGAACTTGCATCTTGCATTCATACCTTGGCATTTTCTCATTTTAGCTTTCTCTTTTATCTGTGTTGCAGGGGTTACATGTGTGGTTCATAGGTTCCATTTGTTCATCTCTAGCCTGTGCTGCTTTTGTTCAAAATTGCCGTTTGTTTTTGACTTACAAGTGTATTTTCATTTTTTGGATATCTGATAAATTATTCTCACTGGCCTTCAGATGACCATTTTTCCATGTTAGAATTATATTGAAAATCATCCCTTGCTTTACTTTAAAAAAAAAAACTGTTCCTTTTTGATTCCTGAAGCAGCATCTAGAAATGTGATCTTAACTGGTGGTAGCCTCTTGAACACTGGTGTCTGCTCTTCCATGATTTTTTTGTGGAAAAATACTGTCTGTTCCCAGGCTACCTTTTCTTTCTTTCTTTGCATGTTTTCTTGCTTGTATTCTTTCTCTTGTCTGTTACCTCCTTATATCTTGTTGAAATAGGTGATTTGCTGTGAGTATATTTTCTTGCTGAGGATATGAAAATGGGCTCCTCTTTCCCCTGGGTCTATCTACATATATGTTTATTATTTAAAATGAAAAATGCTGGTGGTTATGCTGAATTGATAACCTCTAATAGATAAAAAGGGCTATAGTGGACTAAACCTTTTTCTTCCCACCACTTGAAGTAGCTGTTAGCCTTCTTTAAGCAATTAAAAAAAAAAACTGAAACACTTTTTATTTTGAAAAATTTCAGATGTACATGAAAGTAAAAATGGCATAAAGACTCATCATCCAGATTCAACAATTATTGTTTTGTCATACTTTTAAATGGAGCTTTGATTTTCTTAATCTGTATGTTTATTTTTTTATATTTTTGGGGGAAATGAAGTGGGAGATTCAATAGGAGAAGAGGGAAAGTTTAAAATGAAGTCATTTAGTGGGAAGGAATCTTTTTTTTTTTTTTTAACTGTTCTTTTTTACTTTAGCTCTAGCCAAGAGCTTAGAAGATGCTCTGAGTCAAACTGCTCGCATCAGTCAGCAGGCCATCATAGCTCAGAATGCTGCGGTCCAGGCCGTCAGTGCGCACTCCAACATACTGAAAGCAGCCATGGACAATTCTGAGGTGAGCAAAAGAAGCAGGAGACATGGGGTGTTTTAGAGACTGATTGTAATCCTATTATGGACTTTCTTTCACTAAGTGAAGACCATCTAGGGTAATTATCTTTTTAAACAAAACAAGGAAAACCTTTAATTGTTCTCTTTAATGAATTTTATATATGGTGCTTTATCTCACAACAATGATATGGTACTAGAACTAGTTCAGATTTGCTTCCTGTCTTAATAGTGCTTGAATGCATTTGTTATTTGCTTTCTGGGTTTTTGTTTTGTTTTAAAATTGCCAGTCATTTTTTAAATAAACTTTTTGAGGTACATTTAGATTGACACACAGTTGTAAGAAATAATATCGAGAGATCCCATGTAACCCCAAACACCAGCTGTTTTTAACTGATTATTTAACTTACATTGAACACTTGAAAGAATAATTGCATTGATTTAAAAATGTAATACTGGGACTCAGTAAATTTCCTTTGTAATTACATGCAGTTATTCAGTTTATAAAAATGTACCTTGACACCAAGTCATTTAAATAAAATAAGTATGTAAACTATAAATCTTAGGAATCAGGATTGTACATGATCAGTAACTTTGTCACTGTAACTGTTTGGTTTTTAAAAAATTTAGATATACTTCACATTGTTTTAGTCATGAGTACATATATTACAAAAGAGTTAAATTAGACCTCTGATGTAAGCAGCCAGAGAACACAACCTTTGAAAACTTGAAGCAAATTCTTTTTTATTCAAAGCTCAGGAAAAAAGTTTAATTTGCTATCAGAATTCAGTCAGAAAAGTGGAAACCACAAAGAATTTTTAATATGCTGCTTATGCAGGTGTGGGAAGACTGGAAATGGCATGATTTCAGGAGTTTAGCTCAAAACCAAGTATAGACCGGTATTTTCAGAAGGACACTGATTAGAAGCTTTAAATGTCCCTGGTACTGCTATGGTGGAAGACTCCATAAAAGGGTACTTCCTTGTTCCACTGAATGTGTAGGATGCAGTGCAGCCTGACTACTGCGGTCAAGATTTTACAGCTAAAGGACACCATATAGTAGCAGTTAACTAGATTAGGGAGTATTAGCTGGTGTTACAAATTAGTTAGGAAAATGTGTGAAGACAAATTTTCAAATGTTAAAAGTGGACTCTCTCAGCTTCTCTTTCTTCTAGTACAAGAAGCTAGGTGCACATGGGTTCTGTAATATATAGTGAATTGCCTTCTCAAAGCAATATTTGGAAACAGACTTCATATAATCAAAGGGGAATCTAGTGTCTGTGTACAAGGCAGCATATCCTTGGACTTCTATAAGCAGAAATACCTTCAACAAAGGGAGAGAAATTTTTGACCTCCAGATGTCTTTACACTTATGTGATTTATGAATCTTTTTGGGTTAGTTATGAAAAATCCTCCTTAATAAAATACCAGGATCTTCTAACAGCATACTATAGTGTCTTGGCAAATTTGTTATACCTGACAAGAAGCTGAAATGACTGAAACTAGCATCCTTTCTTGATGTCTTTTATTTTGCAAGATGGCTCAGATGGGGAGTTCACTGAAACATCAACTTCAGTATTTTCCATAGCCTCAAAACCTTGTCCTTCAATTGTGTATATTGGCAACAGACCACAATGTGTTAGCATTGTCACCAATAGAAAGCACAGGTATTTTCCTATCACTTTATAGTACTTGCATCTCTCTTGAAATACTATTTCTAAGGATATTTATTAGTCCTACCACTAGATCTTGGGTTCTATTTCACAAAATTAAAAAAAAATTATGAACACATTTCAGTATAATTGGGTTCCTTTGTAATCTCGTAGTTTCATTTTAAGCATTTAAAAATTGCATTTTGAGAAGCTTCCTTGGTCTGCTGCAGGTCCTATGGCAAGGCTAATCCAAGCTTAAGGGACTTGTTTCTTTAAACTCTCCACTGATAATAGATGTACGTTTAAAATGGAGACCACGCTAGTAGATGTCAGTGGGAGCATAATGTGGACGGTGGTTCTGAAGGACAGTTCTGCATGCTCCAAACCATACTTGTGCTTAGCCCTTGTCCCAAAGTAGCAGGCCTAGGCTGCAGAGGCAGAACTGTCATCTTTCTAGCAAGGGAAAATAGAAGTTGGGCGTCCAGGGCCCAGGATGCCTTGTTGAGATGGCAGTCATGTTCTGGGTGTGTAACTTAGCATCCCCTGCAGTGACCCTCTTTGGGTGATTTGAAATACAATTACTGAATCAGTTCAGTTGTTTTTCCTAAATAAAAGTATTCTGTAGTAATTTAGTAGTTCCTGTTTATCTCCAGAGCCCTAAGCACAGTGTACTTACAAGATAAGCCGTAAGATGGTTTTACTTCATGTCTACCCATAACACACTCACTTTATGCACTTGGCAAAAGGAACAAGAGGGAAAAAAGCATTTAAAATAGTTAATAGTTAATTTAAAAGTAATTTAAAATAGTTCAGACAATTCCAAATAACATTCTACTCATTGTGTATGTAATGCAGAATGAGGGGAGGATGGAAGCCAGACTTGTATCTTTCAGTGATCTCAGTTCCTGGCACCTGTCAGAGAGAGCATCTTGCTGCACTGAGTGTGATTGTAGTGTTAGAGGTGGTTTTTTGCCTCTATTTGGTATGACGTGTCCCCTAAATATGAGCTAGCTCTGCTCAGTAGAAGGAGAAGTAGTAAAAACATGTTGGACCTGCCTTAAGAATTTTCAGAGACTTTATATATATATATAATTCACATCCTATAAAATTCAGCTCACGGGTGGCTTTTACAGTAGTTGATTTTCACCTAAACAAATTAGAGTCATTCTTTAGGATAATGTTTTAGAGAAATAAGGAACTTACAAATGTATAAACTTTCTACTTATCCTTAAACTATAATTTTGATTGACAGACATGCAATTAAAATTTTAACTTGGTGCTTCATTAAATAATATTTAATCAACAAATAATTCATGAAAAGTTACTGTTACTGACCTTCTGTGCTTCAAAGCTCCTTTTGAGAATGTAGCACAGATATCTTGTTAGAAAATGCTTATATGCACTGGAACACAGTCTTCTACAGTTTTGACTGGGGGGATAGTTGGTGGGAGATGGTTTTTGCACTTTTTTGATCCTAACCATGAACCTTAGATAAAGAGTTCCTACTCTGGAGAAATATTGTCTGTAAGTTTTTAGCTTTGAATGTAATGTTAGTTGTTTCTGCATTTAGTCATGTTAACCTGTCCTGTGACAATGATAGCAGCTATTCATGTTTACATAGTCTGAACTTTGTTTAGATTGCAGGTGAGAAGAAGTCAGCTCAGTGGCGCACAGTCGAAGGTGCGTTGAAGGAACGCAGGAAGGCAGTAGATGAGGCGGCTGATGCCCTTCTCAAAGCCAAGTAATTACTCATGGACTTCAACAAGTAATTAGGGCCTCCTGGTGGCTTCTTTGGGCTGGGTTTTCTTTGTACTGTTTGGATAGAAAGAGGAGGCAGAGAAACCCTTCCCTTCTGCTCCTGTACTTGGTCTGTATTAGTATCAGGAACACAGAGGTTTTGAAAAGGAGTGAGGTAATAAAATAGGCTAAAATAAATGTGGCAGAAATCTATGAAAGGATCTTGTAGACATAAAAAACAGTTTTTCTTTGGGTTATTGCTTAGGTGATATATCTCCACAGATTTACCAAGATTCTGTCATAATTTGCAAATTTTTCTGGGATGGTTTGAGCAGTTTTATCAGAATTTAGAGAGTATGTCACAATAATCTCTCTGCCTTAACTACCAAGTAGTTAGTATATAATAGGTTTAGTTTTGTGACCTTGAGTCCTGGGAACTGGCTAAAACTAGGATCAAGCAAGCAAACCAAGTACAAGGTCAACTTCTGATGATGAAAACCTGCATTTGAATAAGGTTCTCATAATGATGGAATCTTGTCATTCAAAATTTTGCTGTTTTTTTGTAAGGAAATATTTATTATTGATAGAGAAAGAGAAGCCTTTTAATAAAGCCAGCATATCATTTAGGAGAATTAAGACATTATGTTCACATCATGAGACCATTAGTCAGGGCTCTGAGTTCTGTATTTTGTAATGGGTAGACCACAGTTCATCTGATTTGGGAAACATTCTGAATTGTGAGAGAGTTTCTGAATCCCTGAGACCCAGCTGTTTGCTCAGTAAGCTTATTGGCTTCCTCCCTCCTTTTGCTTTCCTTAAACTCTCTCTTTCGCAGGGGAGTTAGCCTAATCCTTGCAGAAGCTGCTACTTATTGAGTGCTCTCAATGTGCCAGGTGCTGTATGGATACTTCTCATGAATACCCCTAATCCTTACTTAAGAGTGAGCAGCAAAGAAGCTGATCTGGGAGTTGAGTCCACGTCTACTGAGTTCTGAAGCCTGTGTGTTTTCCTATACACCATGCTACTTCCTGGTTCACTGTAGTAAATCTAGCTTCTGGGCCAGGTGCCTTCAGGTTTTGGTGAGGAAAGCTGCTCTGTTTACTGACCACGAAAAAGTATTGAGTAATTTTTTTCAAATTACATTTTTTTTCAAAGACTTTTAACAATTGTATGTTGTACTGATGTCAGACTCTTTAGTAAAGTTGACAAAGAATAATACTATATCTCTGTTTTGTGTTTTTGGTTTCCAGAGAAGAGTTAGAGAAGATGAAAAGTATAATTGAAAATGCAAAGAAACAAGAGTTTGCTGGGGCCAAATCTCATATAACTGCTGCAGAGGGGAAACTTCACAACATGATAGTTGATCTGGATAATGTAGTCCAAAAGGTGTGTTTCTTAGGTCTTTTATAAGTATTTTTTATTTTAAAATATTATCCTTTAGTCAAAGGCTTTTAAGAAATCAGGAAAAGAATAAGATTCCTGCCTTCTCTCTCCCTCCTGCAAAGACTCTGGTTGTTACTAATTTTAAAAACTTTCCTTGGATACAAAGTAGATAGTTCAGTATTATTGACATGTTTTATAATAGGCAACATTTTTGGTCATGGCTATTAGCACTTAGGGAAATTTCCATTTTGTAGCATATCTTCTGTCTGCACTTGTGCAGTCTGTACAGGTGGTTTCCTGTGGCCCCAAGAAAGGCACAAGACACAGTAAGATGGGAAAGGGCTTTTCTATGCATTTGAATAGAATTAGAAGGAAACAAAGACAAGGCTTATGTTTTTCTTTCTAAGATTTAGATTTCTCTTTCTCTATTTTTTATACGTTCCCGACCAAATGTAAATAAATAAGTGGATATAATTTTTAGGGTTTGGAATATTTATGGTACTTTTTGTTCACCTTAACCACATACCCCTTGTATTTTTTCAGGTCCAAGCAGCCCAGTCTGAGGCTAAAGTTGTGTCTCAGTATCATGAGCTGGTGGTTCAAGCTCGGGATGACTTTAGGCGAGAGCTGGACAGTATCACTCCAGAAGTCTTGCCAGGGTGGAAAGGGATGAGTAAGTACAACTTGAAGTGTTGCTGCTTTCCTTTTTCATTTTTTTAACAACTGATCAACTAAATTTGCCTCAATTCCATTCTTCTAGTACATCCCTTTTGGGGTACAGCATGGTGTTTTCAACATTGTGTTTGAGCACAGCCATGACAGGTGACACACCTGTGACAGCAGTCCCAGGGTTTTAGCCATGGTGGACACAAGGTCCAGCTAGTGTTTAATTACATATCCATGATTCCATTCTGGTTTCTGCTACTCAGAAAACAGTTCGGAATCCATGTGAGTGAGAGTGACATTATAACCTTCACTATATTAGAATATTTTTTATATATATATCCTAATCCTAGGGATATATATATATAGCCAACCTAGGGAGTCTAGGTTGGCTGAATATTTTATATATATATATAAAATTATTCAAAACCTTTGGTGCTTTAAAAATATTCTTAATGAATTACTTATGTCACTCCTTAGGACTGCTCTGTGACAACCTTGTGGTTGAAAACTCACCTGGGGACGTGTAGCAAACGGAAATGGGTTGTATGGCTGTTACTTGCACATAGCTGAGACTGCAGGGAACTTTGGTGGTTAAGTAATTACGTAGTGTAACTGTAGGGAATAGTTGCATAGCAAAATAATATTTAAATCCCAGTGCCAGAAACTGAACATGAGGTAGGATCTGAAGAACTGGTATTAGAGGCCTCTGTGGCTTGAAGGTGATAAGGTTGCACCATGGCACATGGCTTGCCTAAGAAGCGCAGTTAATGAAGACCAGTGCAGGAATTTTATCTGCAGGATGGTGTGCCAGGGAGGTTTAATGGCAAGAAGTGGAGTCAAGGCTATCAAAAAATAACTTGAACATTTAGTTGCTCTTTTGAGTGCAGTTGATGCACATAAGAGGAAAATACCAAACTCCTATCAGTGAAAATTATTTAAAGCAGGACTTATAAGAGAGGATAAAATGGAGACACACACCCAAAGTGCAATCTGGGAACAGTGAATCTTGTTTGCATATTGTTGTTTAATCTGATTAGCAGCTAGCAAAGAGGGCAGCCTGGACAGCTGGCTGTTAAGCCACATATGCACCATTTCCCTCATCACAATTCTCCAAGGGCTGCTCATCATGGAAATCACAGCTGAAACAGATATTTTCACTGCAGACACTTTCCTGCTCATCTTCATCTTCCATAAATCACTCTACCACATTACCTTGTTTTACCCTTCTGAAATTCTTATCCACTGTTTTTTGTGTTTATTGTATATCTCTGTCCATTGGTGTAAGCTCCTTAGTGTAAAAGTGACATTGCTAGATAGTAGGGAGTCTAGGTTGGCTGAAATAAATGAAATAAGGTTGAAAGGGCAGGACAGGCTTTGCCTGTGGAGTTAGTTACAAGTGCCATACCTAGAACTTTGCATTCCCTTATCTAAAATACCTGTCTTTGGTCTTCTCACTAGGCTAAATCCTACTAATTTTTCCATGCCAGCCTCTGAAGGTCTTAACTTTTAAAAACTTTTGCTTATTTTGAAAATGTCCATTGTAAAACATGAAAACATAAAAGCAGCCATTCTCAACCCAGGGTATGTTGCCCCCTGCCACCAGAGGACATCTGGCAATGTCTGGAGACAGTTTTGTCCATCACACTGCAGGGAGCTATTGGCCTCTAGTGGGTAGAGGCCAGAGATGCTGGTAAACATCCCAAGTGCACATAATAGTCCCCCTCAAGGAATTACCTGGCCCAGGATGTCACTAGTACCAAGCTTGAGAAAACTGGTATTAAAGAAATGTATCACGTAAAAAGTGAAAGTCCCTTGCAATGCAATCTCTGAATTATTTTTTCTGTACAACCTCCATTGAATTTCTTACTAATTTTTTAAAGTATCTTATATATTCATTCACATGACACAAAATTTGAAAGGTACAAGTGACATCTGGTGAAATTTCCTTTCTATGCCTGTCTACAGCCAGTTTTCCTCTCAGTGCTAGTGATTCCTGTGTACATCTGGAGGTAGTGAATTATTCCATGATTACCCCAGCCCTCAATAGATAATCCTCGCCTGTGAAATCTGAATTCATTTAAGACCTATACTGAACTCATTAGTAATGGTTTGTGTTATCAGTTATTTTGCTCGTAGTCTTACTTCCTTAAGTTATAAATGTCCCGGTGATAGTCATCTGATACTTATTTCTGTGTTCTCCATAACTGAGCACAGTATCAAACATATGATAGCTAACACTGAGGATTCTTTCATGTCTAGCACTGTATTCTGAGTGTTTCACATGTATTAACTTAAAGTTCATAACAACCCTGTAAGGTGAGTTTTGCTATTATGTCTATTTTATAAATGAGAAAACCAAGACACAGAGAGGTTAAGTAATTTGCCCAAGGTTAAGGATAGAGTTAGGATTTTATTCTTACCTCCTAGCTTCACAGTTCCCTGCCTGATTGATCTGTATTGCAGGATAGGACCCTCTTTCAGGGTTTTGAGTAGTGGTCTGATTGTAATAAGGGGGAAGATTCATTTTTATGAGATTGAGAGTGTAGGAAGGGATGTCTGAGGACAAGGAAGCTAGTTAAAAGCTGGTGAGTAATCTGATGACAGTGTTGGGGGCCATGTAGTATGTGTGCCAAGGGCATTGAGTAAAGAAACTTAGTAATGGGGTATGTGGTGGGGACTTGATAATGGGGGGAGTCTAGTAACCATAATGTTGCTCATGTAATTGTACATTAATGATACCAAAATAAAAAAAAAAGAAACTTAGAAGTAGTCACTTAGCAATTGATTTGTTGAACCATGACTTAGACTATCTAGTGAAGCTGATGATGTGTATACTCCCTGATCCAACAGGTCAGTTCCTACGTGTGTGCTCAAGAAGATGCATGGTTACTCATGAAAGATGCAGGGAGACTTTTAAAAATGTTCATAGCAGCACTGTTTGTAAGAGCAAAAAAATGGGAACTAAATGTGCTTCACACATGGCAGTGCAAACGAATGAACCAGACTCTATCTCGCAAACATAAATGTTGAGGAAAGTCAAAACGTTGCAAAAGAGTACGTGGATTAGGATACCACTTACATGAGACTTAAGAACATGCAAAACAAAACCACATATTGTTTAATGATACATGCATAGTAAAGTATAACAGAATGAATGATAAACACCATATTCAGTTGTGGATACTACTGTGGGGGAAAGGAGGAGTAGCTGCTAGGAAGAGTGCATGTGAGTGTTGCCAGGATGGGAGAATGTGTCCAAGTTGACTGTAGATATTCGTTGGGGACTTTTCCTTTATTGCTTGTAGACTAGTTTATGTAGCCATATTTCTGTGCCATGTTGAGACTGACACAGTCTCTCTCACCTTGGCCATCTTTGCCAGTTTTTCTTGCGACAGTTGGACAGATCCGTTTCTTCGGTTTACTACCAGATTAAGTATTTGACTTCTAGAGAGCTATTTTGGATGAAAATACTTGCCTTTGAACTTGTTAAAGCCAAGGGTCATACCCAGGGTGTTAGGAAACTCATACTGAGAGGTAGGAGTCTGCCTGTGAGGTGTTCACACCTGGTGCTGGTGGTCTTCGTGAGTACAGTGGGGGATCATCAGCCAAACTATTAACACCTCCCTTGCCATTGAATCAGGCAGTCATAGTTCTTAGTCTAATTTGCATAGGTTAAGTGCAGATTTAAGGTGAGTTCACTGTTTTCACATTTCCAAAGAAGAAAGGTCAATGTCTTAGGTATTTGAAATGGTAGGAGAGGCCTGGTACAGAGAACAGAGTCAGGACTGTGACTTAGTGAAATACTCTGTGAACTAATGTAAATGGAGCGGGGGAAGAAAATCATAGTTTCTGTGTAAAAACTAAGTTGGTTGCTTTAGCAAAAATAGAGGTGAGTTCCCTGGAAACCAAAACTACTTTTAATATCAATGACTCTTACTTTCCAAAATGTTAAAATTTACCTTAATTGTTTTATGATCCTTTTAAATTTCAGGAAATAAATTATTATTTTGCTCTCTGATTCAAATATACTTTTCTACTACTAGTTTCGGTTCCTTCTTATTTCCTTTTGGATATTCCTGTTTAATGATTAATAACTGAGATGTGTAAATTCTTTTTTTTCAAACTTATCTTCTTTTCTTTTGTAGATATTTCTGACTTAGGTGAGTAATTGTGTTTTTTTATCTTTAAAAAGGTTTTTGTTTTGAGTCTTAAAAGACTGAACTCTTACTTTGCCTATGATTCTTATACTAAGCCACCTAAATAATATAAAGTAGAATTATGTTGCATGTGGTAAGTCTGATTTGCATATTTTGGACATATCTATGCTCTCAGGAATAAAAATGCTTAAAGTGATCGTGATCGGGAACCTGCAGATACTATATATGTGTGTGTGTGTATAAAATATTATGTATAACATTTTAATAAAGGTTTTATTTTATAAAATTTCAAACATTAAGAAGTAGGAAGAAAACTAACTAACTCCTGTGGACCCATTACCCAACTTCAGCAATTATCAGTACATGGCTGGTTTAGTCTTACTTACTCCCCCAGCTTATGTTGAAGCTGACCCTGAGTATCATATCCTTTCACTTTTAAATACTTGGAATATATTTTTACAAAAGCATAATTGGTATACCATTATCACATCTGAAACAATACCTTGATGTCAGCAAATGTCTATCAGTGTTCAAGTATCCCTGATCATTTTATAGTATGAGTTTTTATTTGTTTTATTTGAATCTATACCCAAGGGAGCTATGCATGTTGAATTTGGTCAGTAAATCTCTTATCCCCACTTTGTTTTTCACTTTTCAATCTATTTATTGTGGGGTTGAATTATCATACAGTATTTCCCACATTCTTTATTTTGCTGAAAAGAAAACGTGTTTAAGCCTAAGTCAGAACCTTTGGGCACAAGTAATTGAAAAAACTCCACGAGTGATTCTGATGGACAGGTCTGGCCACAGATCACTGTCCTTGTTAATATCAGCTGTTAAGGAAGGGTATGAAAACTCTTATTAGGAAAAAGTCTGAGAGAATTTGAATTTGTTTCTAGTTTTAGCAGGAAAGAATGTTTAATATTGGTTGCCTATTAAAACTAATCATGGTTTTTTGCATGAAAGAAAATACAGAAGTGATTGCATATGTGAACTGTCTTTAGAGGCAAAATTATGAGTTATAAAACCAATTTATAATTAGTTCATATTGGAAATACTAATTTGTGTTCCTCGAAAATAACTGATTATATATTTGAAGGCTTACCTAAGTTACTATACTTGGGATTGAAAATACCTTAGTTGTTGGACATGAGCTGTGGATTTATGATTGCATTGGAGACTCTAGATCTCCAACCCCACATGAGAGCAAAAACCAGTCTGTCTGCCTTGAGCACCAGTGCATCCTCCACCCTTTGCTTCTGTTTACAGCTATTAAAATTAAATTATCAACAGAAGCAAGTTACCTTGTAGATGTATATTTCTGGCAAAATCATAACATTTTAATGTGCTTCTCTTTTTAGCTGACAAGCTATCTGCTGATGATCTGAACTCTCTGATTGCTCATGCACATCGTCGCATTGACCAGCTAAACAGAGAGCTAGCAGAACAGAGAGCCACAGAGAAGCAGCACATTGCATTAGCCTTAGAAAAACAAAAGCTGGAAGAAAGGAGGGCGTTTGACTCTGCAGTGGCAAAAGCATTAGAACATCACAGAAGTGAGATACAGGCTGAACAGGACAAAAAGGTAGAAGAAATGAGAATAACTGTTTAATGTTTAAAGTGCATCTAACTTGATTGTCTACTTCTAGAGATAATACCAGCAGTCACTGACTTTAAAATGCTATATAAAAGTCATGCCAACCCATGTCTGGGATGGAGCTTTGACCCTTGCTCTAGTCAGAACTTCTAGGGAAGGATTGACCTAGCAGAATTCCTTCATGTTGAGCAGATGGGAAAATATAGGAAAGTAACAAGCTACTGGGATCCAGGATTATCTAGCTTACCTTTTCCCAGTGGAGCCTCCTTCCCTTAAAGCAGTGCTGAAAGAGTCTGTTGGATTCTGAGTATATTTTTCTCTGCCAGTGTTTTGAAGTAGTTGGCAGTTAATGGATGAAATAACTCCTACAGTCTTCTCTCTGGGTACATCATATATTAAATCACTGATTTGGGAACCTGGCTACTCATCTTGCCTTCATGTCCACTAAGCTGCACAGTTGACCATTCCTTCTTCCTTGAAGCTCTTTCTTCCTTTGGCTGCCAGGATACCACATTCTTTTGGCCTTTCTTCCACCTTGCTGGCCACTCTTGGACCTCCTTTCTGTAAAAGCTCAGCCTCTCAGAATGTTGGCCTGCAACTGGTTTTGGTTCTGATACCTTTTTTCCTCCTAAACTGTCTCCAAATGCTCCTATCTGGTCCTGTGGCTCTGATGTTAAAATACTGTCTATCACTTCAGAGACATTTATATTGCCAGCTCTGACCCCTGCCTTGGCCTGGGGTTCCTGCCCAGCAGCCGACTTGTCTTCAGCTGGATTTTCAGTTAGTTGTTTCAAACTCAACGTATTCAATACATATTTCTTGATTCTCTCCAACCTGTCTCACAACCCCTCCGCTTCTTTCTTTCTCAGTAAACCCACATGTACCCAGGTGCTTAAGCCACACAGTTCATGCTTAATTGTTCCTCCATCAACTTTCCCATCTAGTCCACTGACAGATCCTTCCAGTTCTGCATCCAAAGTAAATCCCAGATTTGTTCACTTCAGTCTACTACCACTACCTTAGTCCAAACTGTCATCTTAACAGGTTCCAGTTTCATACCCATCTCTACGTCTTTACACAGGTGAGTGGTCCTTATGAAGTGTATTTGGGTTAGACACTACTGTGCTAAAAATCCTCCAATGACTGCCCATTGTATTTATTCTAAAATCCAAATTCTTAACCTTTACCAGAAAGGCCTCTTGATCTGAAACCTGCTTGCTATAAACCAGGCTTCCTTTACTTCCCTTAGTTACCAGGTGCCCTGGTTTTTGTTCTGTTTTGTTTTTGTGTCTTGACTACAGCTTTTGCCTCGGGGCCTTGCTCTGCTTGGTGTATTGTTCTGGCTCCTCTCTTTAACCTTGGTTCTAAGCTTGGATGTCACCTCAGCAAGGCTTTTTTTCTGTCTTTTCAATATAAAGTAGACTGTATTATTGTCTCTCAAAATGCCATTTCTTTTCTTAGAAACTAGTATCGGAGTTTCAGATGTTTCTTTTGTTTACTTACTTATTGTGTGATTCTTCTGTTGAAAATATACCCCACATGAGAGCAAAAACTAGTCTGTCTGCCTTGAGCACCAGTGTATCCAAGCATATAGCAGGCACTGCCTGGACAGGGTTGGCACGTCTCAGATATTTATGTAGTGACTGAATGGATTCATTCATTACTGATACTCTTGCTGATAAAAAGTAAGTTAAGAACTCGAGGTAATAAATGTTAAATAATTTGTAATATGGCCCATGGCTTATTGTTAGGCAAGACATGGTAGGCTTTTCATATTTTTTATTTGATTTGGCCTGTGTTGCATCTAAACCTGTAGTTTCAGAGCTTCTAAACTTTGTTTAGAAGAAATTGTGTACAGTAACTGCCAGATATTCATTAATTTTCTTAACAGTAGGCATTATTGTTCACAAAGGAGAAAAATGGAGACTTAAGATGATTTCCCCAAGGACACAGAGATGGCTGTGGTGAAGCTGTGTTTGATCCCAAGTCTTTGAGGTTACTGTTTTTTTTTCATGATCTGGAATTTGTTAATTCTCAAGGGATGTATGAGTCAGGAAAAGAGAATCTTTGCTTTGTATAGGACACATCCTGGTGATGTGGAAGAAACAAAATTTGGGGACCAGAAAGACCCCTGTATGAAATCCTATTTTTGCCACAGCTGTGTGACCTTGTTTGAATTGCCTTCCAGTGTTCAGCTTTCTGATTCATAGAAGAATTAGAAGTAAAGACTGTGTACCTACGCACGGCATGGCAAAGGGGATCAGGACATGGAAGCTGCTGTCATTGTCGTGACTGGTCTTTGTCCTTTTCTGAGAGCTTGTGTGGAGAATTGAGAACTAGTCATGACTGTGTTTGGTTTTGCAGGTAGAGGAAGTCAGAGATGCCATGGAGAATGAAATGAGAACCCAGCTTCGCCGACAGGCTGCTGCCCACACCGATCACTTACGAGATGTCCTTAGGGTACAAGAACAGGAACTGAAATATGAATTTGAACATGTGAGGACTGTTGCAAAGCATCAGCTCTGCTCTGTCTCCTTTCCCCCTTTACATTAGTAACACTGTTTCCTTTTCCTTTAATATGCCCTGTATGTCATTCCCTCTGAGGATATAGGAGAATGGGGAAAGATTTCTAAGGGTATCTGGCCTCGGTGGAGTGAGGCTTTTGTGTATTTGCAAAATTGCTCCTTTTCCTTTTTTTACATGGAGGCGTACTTGTGTGTTTTTAATCGCATGGTGTTTTGTATTTATGTCCTGGTCATTTGGACCTTCACAGCTTTCGAGGGTTGGTAGAGGAGGCTTTAGGAATGCAGATATGTAGCCTTGACACAGTCCTTCCTCCTGACGGCTGTGCATTGTGTGGTGGGCTCAGCGTTTCATATCTGAGCAGAGCTGCCAAGAGGTTAAGTTGGAAGTCACAGTGAAATCTATCAGGATACCTTTAACCATGATTAGTTTCTACTCAGTAAGTCATTTATATTACTGTTTTGGGCTCCTAGGAAGGGAATGAGGTTTTCCATATAAGAAAATTGTTCAGAGAATTGTTATTTATGCCAATGTAAAAAGGTATTTAAATCCATTTGATGAGTATTTTCCTGAGAAAAATGAATATATAAGCTCTTAAGCAGAGGATATTGAATACAATTAAACCTAATTACTGTGGATGGCGTTATAGGTACTTTACTTCCTAATGTTGGCATTTCCCCTCATTTTAATAGTCTCTTCCTCCTCCTGGTCTGCTTCCTCTAATATTAGGTCCCATCAGTAAATTTGTAGAAAATTATACATTAAACATGAGTTTGAGGAAATTTTTGAAACCTTACACATAATGTAGGGGTTTCATGACAACTGTTCTGAGGTTTTAAAGGCCCTCTTTGCTTTTGGTGTAGCAGGTGCCAGAACACTTAAGTGTCCCAATAAGTGACATGCATTGAGGTAGCATCAGTCTTTTCTGTACACTACGTTTTGATTTCAGGATCTGTCGGAGAAACTTGCCGAACAAGATTTACAGTTTCGTCGGCTCAGTCAAGAGCAAGTTGACAACTTTACTCTGGATATAAACACTGCCTATGCCAGACTAAGAGGAATTGAACAGGCTGTTCAGAGTGAGTACAGGGACCTCTTGTAGATATTTGTATTCAGTTCAACTTCTTAGGAAATCTCTTGTAACATGGATAATGGGTTATCAACAGTGCATAAAGATGCTGAAGTCACTTGATGGAATTTTATTCATTTCATAGGAAATTAGTCCCAGATTTTATAAGGTTGGACCATAGAGAATAGTGAAAGGAAATTAAAAAGATTCTAAAAATTAAATCTAAATAGTGTGAAGTTTTATTCCTTAAGTGCCAGACATGAGATCACCATTTACGAGGCAGTTTACCCAATACCCTTTGGTTATGTGTCATGTGCCCTGAGCAGAGGTCAGTGTGGCTTCACACTCGCCCTCCAGGTCTGCTGACTTGACTCCAGCCCTGTTCTGGAGGTGATTTGCTGATTCCATCAATCAAACAGATGGTAGTTATCCTGGGGCCTGTGGGTGCCAGTTGGAAGAGAAATGTCCTGACAGTGAGGATGGTGATAAAATGGGTTTCTTTGGGATGTTATGGAATCTTTTTTGTGAGATTAAGGTAAAAATAAGCCAAGTTTTTATGAACTTCAAGGTCCAGTAGTTCATTGAGTTTATTTGAAGTGTTCTACCTTTTTGTATGAAATTAAAATAGCATCAATCAGCCTATTTTAAATGTCATGTTTTTTTTCTCAAACATTTCTAAAGATGATTATATCTGAATTAGATGCCGTGCATTGTTCTGGATGTTACAGGAAGAGAAGAGAGACTCAGTGGTGCTCGTGCACACACATCCTCCTAGTTTTCTCCATGACTCATCAAGCCCTTCTCTAGTTGTGCCATGCCTTGTTGCCTCATGAAGCCAGCTAGGAAAGAACATGCCAGAAACAAGTGGTGGGTGAGGTTGGAAGAGGCACTTTCTGGTCCTGCTCTCCACATGTGTGGATTGAGCTTGTTGAAGGTACACTGGATTTATGAGAAAGACATGTAGTCAGGTGGAGAGAAAAGTGTTTTTCTTTGCCTATTTTTTCTTACAGGTCATGCAGTTGCTGAAGAGGAGGCCAGAAAAGCCCACCAGCTCTGGTTGTCGGTGGAGGCATTAAAGTACAGCATGAAGACTGCATCTGCAGACCTGCCCACTGTCCCGCTGGGTAGTGCGGTTGAGGCCATCAAAGTTAACTGTTCTGACAGTGAATTTGCCCAGGCTTTAACTGCGGCTATCCCTGCAGAGTCCCTGACCCGTGGGGTGTACAGTGAAGAGACCCTTAGAGTCCGTTTCTATGCTGTCCAAAAACTGGCCCGAAGGGTAGCAATGATTGATGAAACCAGAAATAGCTTGTACCAGTACTTCCTTTCCTACTTGCAGTCCCTGCTCCTATTCCCGCCTCAGCAACTGAAGCCACCAGCCGAGCTCTGCCCAGAGGACATAAACCCGTTTAAATTGCTGTCCTATGCCTCCTATTGCATTGAGCATGGTGATCTGGAGCTGGCAGCAAAGTTTGTCAATCAGCTGAAAGGGGAGTCCAGACGAGTGGCCCAGGACTGGCTGAATGAAGCCCGAATGACCCTAGAAACAAAACAGATAGTGGAAATCCTGACGGCATATGCCAGCGCCGTAGGAATTGGAACCACTCAAGTGCAGCAAGAGTAAGGTCTAGGAAGATTAGAGTTTTGTGAAGTCCTATTTCATGTCAAAGGAAATCAGCAATGATATATGAAGGGTTTACCACATGGTCCCAAAATTGTCTAGAAACAAGCAGGTTATACAAGTACTGTGTTCTAAATGTTAACACCTGTTGCACTTACGTTATTTCCACTTGCTATCATGTTTGTGAACTTCCTAAGTATTTTCTTTGCAACTTGTGTAACATTTTCTGTTTTTCAGGTTTTACTGATCAGGCTTGTGAGCCAATCAAAATAATGTTTGTGATCCCCATTACTATTGATTTTGCCCATGGAGCAAACTGAATAAAACAGAGATGAAAACTGAATAGCTTATCCCTATTCAAAAATTACCACTTCTGGCTTGTGTGTGTGAAAAACTTCCTTCAGAACAACAGCAGCAGAAATAGGAAGCCCCAGGCACTCAGTTTTCTAGGCTGTGAATTGGGTGCCAGAAGTCCAAGGTCTGTTTTGACTTTGAAGGTTCTGGTGAACTGATTCTTGCTGGTCAGCTCAAGAATGATGTACAATCCAAAATGCCAGTGTGTTTATAATTGGAAATAAAATCATTTAGGGATTGAAAAGCACTAGAAATGGTTTATGTAACCCCAAACTTATAAAATTGCTACCACAGGAAAAAATATTTACATTGGGACCCATTATACACACCCCCCCACCCCTGTGTGCATATATACATGAAACAGTTTCTGGAACCTCTGCTTCCCCTTTCTACTTGTAATGTACCGTTTTCTGGTCTGTGGTGTTAAATGTCTTCTCTACCCACAAATTCACCTCTCAAAACAGGTCACTGCTCACAGTTCTGAAACACTTGTACCTGACCTTGCTTTTTGGTACCGGCGTTGATTGGGGTGGTATGCCTGGAATCAAGGGATTGAATAATTTTGTGGATTATTTGAACTGGACTGCCATGAAACCCAGAGAACTTAGTTCACTTCTCTGAAGATTAGGACAGTTGCCTTATTGGGTAAACATTAACAGATTCCTTTTACTTACTCTATGAAAATAGTCAGTTTTTTTTCAAACTTGTAATTTTTTTTGATGTTTATGGTTCACAAGGAGATTGAGGAGGCACTTTTACCTGAGCAACATATCCTCAAGTCACGAGAGAGGAGGGGATTCTATTTTGTACCTCTGCAGGTATATGCCAAACCGAATTTGAATTGTTACATTCGGGTCTGCATGGCACTTGCCCCCTTACTGGTCCATTTTGGCCTGTTGATGTTAATATTCACATTCCTCCTAAGTAGATCTTCAGTACAACAAAGTACATCTATTTTTTTTTATGGGACACATGCTTTGTGTAATGTTTTTAATCTGTGTGGGTAGAAGCACTCATGGCACCTCTGGGCCTTTTTGTGTTTTTACTGGATGATGATGAGGCTGCTGTAAATTCAGCCTGTCTTCCCCTTTGGAATGGCATGAAGTTGCAAAACACAAACTTCTGAGGTGGCCTGCTTTCCTACTTGTCATATTAGAAGTACTAGTAATTTGCTTTATTAATGAAATATGTAAAATATTACAGATTATAAGGAAATGTTAAATTTCTCTAAGACCGTGGGAGTTACTTCCTTCAGATGTGATTATCTGAGCTCATAAGAAGTCAGGGATACTGAGTTATTTGAGCTCTGTAAATCAAAGTAATGAAGACCACTGGCTTTCAAGTGTTAGTTCCTTTAGCAAACCACCCCCCCCGTGTGTTGGAAAACTGTATGATGTTGAAAGGTGACTCTGCTTGGCCAGGCCTTCATTTTCCTTCCTCAGGCCCAGTAAGACTCCATCTTCCTGGGATGTCACTCAGTAGTCCCTCAAGTGAAAAGAGCCTTTACTTCGGTTCCCAGTTCTATTTTGAGTAGGTGGAATCCAATGCAGCAAAGTTGGGATGGGGCTACAGTCTGGGTGGTTGGGGAAGGGCAGCTTCATTTTCCACTTAAACTTCAGGGGATTAAATTACACTTCTGCTCCTTCTACTTCATGGAAGTTAAGTAGCCAAGGCATCATTTCTGTCTTGCTTTTTCATTATCTCAATCTGTTAGTCTTGAACTGGATTATTTTATTGCCTCCCTCCTGAGTGCTGTAGGACAGTGTTCTTCAGCAATTTAAATGCATGCCTCCAGATTTAACATTAAAACTGATCTTTGCTTTGGTTTCAAAATCAATAATGTAATGAACTAAAATTAATTTCAGACAGTCTTTTTGAAGACACACAATTTACATATTCCTTAGTGTTAACTTAAACCCTCTGTTCTCTCAACAGGTTCTAGATAAAAGCAGTCTCCAAGTACCAAATGAGGTGTCCCACCAGTTTTAAGTGACTTACTTCAACTCAGTACACAAGAAAAGATAATTTGAATTAATATAAAAGGGAAACAAAAAGGATTAAAAACCAGGCAAATCACTCCATCAGGTCTAGTGTCCATTTGCCTTACCAAGGCTGAGCTTCTCTGCCTTCCTGTTTTGCAGGGAGGCTGAGGGCTACCCAGCCACCGGACCCTTTTCCTTGTGGAGGTGGTTTCTCTAGCTTATTAATTGAGCCCTTTAAGGACACTGCCCTGGGCCTCTGGAAGGGGAAGGGTTTCTGGAGGGACAGGCTAGAGCCAGCAAAGGTGCCATTGTATGCGAACAGATCCACTGGTAGCTGGCAAAAGGTTTTCCTGGGAATAAATTCTATCATGACCTTCACTCTTTCGGGACATTGTTAGTTTTCAAGAGTCTTAAAATCTTGGTGAGCTCTATAGAACCATTCTTGGGCTTATCTCCAGTGGACCTTTTGAACTCTCAACTCCACAGCTCTGGAGATGAAACGGATAGCACTCTAACAGCTTAGGTTCCTTCCTGGGCCAGCTGGAGGCCCTACTGCCTAGGCTTTGCATACGCTGCATTTGATCATCTGTGTCTTAGCACACTGCCTTCTAGCAAATAGGGTACTTCTCTGGTAAATTGCCACTGTACCTCTAAGATCTAATCTAAATGATTCCATAAAATTTGTTGACTACCCATCGACTACTATCTCAGAGTATATCAAATTTTTTGGCCACAACCAGCCTTAAAATCTTCCATGATCAGGTACATTTATACTTGTATACCTAAATGCATCTATTGCACTGTAAAAGTACATCATAAAACTGCATGTGATGCACTTTTTCTAATACATTTCATTAAATATTCTAGTTGTCACCACAAAAATTTATCTCAACTGTGCAGTTTGAAAGCCAGTCCATTTTATTTATTATTAGTCCTCAATGTTCTGTTGAAGAAAAAACGTAGTTTCTAACTCCCATACATTAGTAATCTGCGGCAACACTATAGAAGCATCTTCCACTTGCCAAAACTCCCTTTACTCTTCCCATTCCCTGAGTCCTGACTCCCAATTGCTCTTCTGATGCTCTGGTTTCAACAGCTCCTTTTTGCTAAGTTACTCAGAAATAAACTGTCCTCAGTTCCAAAATTTCCATTTTATCATATGGTTGGCTTTATATGCCATTATGTTGCTGCCTCAGCTATCATTAAAGCCTCATGTCCCTGTTTGGTGCTCCAAAGCTTGGTTTTAAAACTTGATTCTGTTCCTGATTGTAACTGGATTATAACTCGAACATTTTTCCTCAGAGCATTTTTGCTTACAATTTTGAACTGAGTTTCATTCAGGTTATAGATAATTTTTCCTATATAAATATCAGCTGAAAATGTTGGGACTGTTCAGTAAGAGTTGTCTTAAAAAAGAGGGGTTCTACATCACCAAGAAGCCACTCATTTAAAAATGCCTTTTAGAAATGCTGTACTTGAGTTGTATGAAGACATTCATGAAGAACAGACAGCAAATTAGAGAGTGAGCCAGGGCCCAAAGCAAAAATTGGTAGATTATTAACTAGCATGGAAAAACAGAACTTATGACTATTAAAAGCCGCTATTTCACTAGTCAGTGCAGTGCACACTTACAAATACAAGGTAATGGTGACCAACCCTATAAGGCCTTACTTTCCTCTGAAAAGTTCAAAGCAGTTATTTGCCTAGAGTGGGGATTTGAAAGAACCTTTAATACAGAACTAAAACCACTGAGCTACATGTTTTGCATCTCATCTGCAATCCAGATTGCAGATCAATCTGGGTGGGCTTCCCTCCTATCACCTCTATAGCTGCAAAGCACTATGGTGAGGATTGTCAGGGCCTAGCAAGGAAGAAGTTTCCATATTTAGAGACTGCAATGATTTGAGTGCTTGGCCAAGAAGTCAGGTATTTGCAGGTGCTGATAAACCATCAGGAAAGGAGGGAGTGAGTGAACAGAAGCTTCCAGGCAGGCAGGTCCTCCTCGGAAGTCTAAAACCAAGGTCTAAGGCTAATCTGCCCTACCAGTTTGCTCATTTGCTTTGGTGTTTAAGGAACAATGCACGTGAAGGCTTAAGTAGCTAACTACTGGCATTCTGCCCCACCCTCATTGTCCTTCAACTAGAAATCTTAAACTGACATTCTAGAAGGAAACAAAAACCAGTACTTAGGTGTCTGCCAAGGTATGACTGGGTCCTGGCCTAGAGAACCTGGTGACTGGACATACGAACAGGCACATATAATGGACATCAGTACAGTACAGTGGCCCGTAAATGTTGATCCTGGCAGGGTGAGGATGGAGTTGCTCATGTGGAGAACTCAGGCTAACTCTTAGATCTGGGAATCAGACATGAGCAAAGCAGCCCATGGTGGAAGACCTCGTGAAGGGAAGAATGTTGCTGCACACCTCCCAAGTTCTTGTTAGTTCCCAACACCATTTGGAAGTCATTGTGGAAGAGAAATGCCAGCCACAGAAGTTCCTGACTACCTTGATTACCAACCAGCAATACACAACCATGTCAAGAAAACATTTCAATCCTTTTGTTATCACAAACCCTCATGTAGACCCCTAAGTCTGGCACAACTGAAGGAGGTGTCAGCACATAGACCAAATAGGGAGAGGTGACACGCTCACGCAAGCCCCAAGTATAGTGGGAAGACTGGCAAAGAAGGCTGTATAAAAAAAAATAGAAGTGGGTCAGTCTTCATTTTCTTAGCTGTGCAGTCCAAACTCCTGCCACTGTTCAATCAATTCAAAGAGACACAATTTTTCACATCTAAATACCCCCTGAAACTGGACAACTACTGGCCTGGCATCTGTTGTGATGTAGTTTGAAAACCATCTTTAGACACCTTCTCTAAGGTCAAGGAAGTACCAGCATAAGCCCACAAAGGCTGACTCCACAAAAGATGATGCTAGCATGAGGCCAGTGGACAAACTGCAGGTGTGCAGAGTAAGAGCTGGAATCAGGAGCCACATGCCTCAGTGCGTCTGATGGAAACGGTAGCGCTGCTTCCAAAGTAAGCCTTGAATGAATGGCTTAGTAAGTATCAACTGGGTATTTGACCTAGTCAGTCAGTGCTGTGTCAACGCTGCGCAGTTCACCACATCTCATCGTTTTCTTCCTGTCACCAATATTAACATCTCCACTCAAGTGCGACTGCCGCAGCTGTGCTAGGCCGCAGCTGTTCCTGATTCATCCATTTTTATTTGCCTTCACTGCTGTCGCTGTCGCTATCGCTGTCACTGTCACTGGTCAGTGCAATTAGGTTTCCCAGGGATTCTCTGCAAGGAAAATAAACTGGAGGGTTACAGTGCAACTCAGTTTTGGGGGACAGGGAACTATGTAGCTAAACTATATTACCAAAGGAAAAGGTTTACAATCAGATCTACAGGCCTCCCTGACTTGCATGACAAATGAAACCTTCATTACATTAATACATCCTGGCTTTCTGTAAAGAAGAAAACTCAGGAGATAGAAAGCTACAGAATCCCCTGTGACCTCACATTACAGTGTTCTGTTTTTGACTTCTTTGCTTTTGGAAGAATGAATATGCATGATATGCCCACTCACAAACACTAAAAATTTAAGTGGGCAGATACTACTCCAATTTCATAACTTTCCCTCCTGGTGACAATACAGGACCCACTTACTTTTGTTCCGGGCTGACTGCAAATTCAGCCATTAGCCTCTGGGTGAGGCCCTCACAAACAGGTAAGCTGAACGCACTCGCCAGCTTCACTATCTCAAGGGCCTGGGCAGTGTTGTCGGATGCTTTTGCACTGTCCATAAATTCACTCAGCAACTCATTTCTGCAAAAGAGGCAAAATATCAACATTCCCCAACCAAACCTCAACCCCCTCAGTCAAAAGGCTTACATGCAAAATCCAGCATTTCATAAAGTTCAGTGATAAATTTCTCAAAAGCCTGGAGGCAAAGTTACATGAAGTCTAACTTTAAAGGGCCAAAAGAACTAATGAACATTGGCTCAGTATGCCTTCACTGAGGACCATTCAGCATATCCCCAGTGTACTGGGGATCACTGACCAGGGATTAATAGAACAGCGCTGGTCTCAGGATGTCCTCGACGGTATAAGCGGCTGTCCATTCACATGTCCGTCAGGACAATGTCCAATCACTGTGGCTGAGGTCCATGAAGAACCCCCAATCACCCTAAGGTAAACAGCCAGCCCTGGCAGCTAATTCCAGGATGTACCCAGGCAGTCCTGTTAAAACTTCAACTTACCTAGGGATCTTATTATGCTTCTTAAAAAGGCCCAACATCTTCCTGTTCAAGATAAGACAGGAGAAAGATTATGAATGCTAACAGGACAGAAGGCAATGGGATGACCACAGCTGTTCTCCTAGCCTCAGACTGTGATCTTCCCAGTAAAACAGTTGGAAGCTCCCGAAGACATCTGTGAGCTCCACTGGTTCCCGGCCCTGTTTTTACATCAGAATCACCCCCAGTGCTTCAACTGCCTTCCCTAGACTGAACAGGTATATATTACAAGTTTCATAGGCAAGTCTGATTTGCTGTCAGTATTGAGAAGTGCTGGGTATATCCTCTTGTGGAGGATCCCTTCAGTCTCCCAAGGAGGGAGGGTATCCTGTAGGCAGTTGGGAGACAGGGAAGCAGTAGCATGTGATCTCCTTCCTCTTACAAGTCACGTGAGTTCAGTTTCTTACAACTTGTTAAGAAGAGCAGGCTCAGAGTGAGGCATCAGTCTCATGTAAGTGCCCCCATCATCCTGCCACATGCAGGACAAAGAGGAAACATACATTCAGCTCCCATGGCTCAGCTGAGGTCTGTACCCCTGCGCCAATCATCACAGCCTGATTCATAACAAGTGTGTGTCAACCTGACTCAGTTAACAAATCTGAGCCTCTAATGCACAAGCAGCATAGTCTGTTACGTGTGTGGGTCACACAATTAAGACTAGTTAAGGCAGCAAAGCCTTCACCACCTTTTCTCCTGGAGACAGTGAACAGCCACATTTTAGACAGATAATCACATGCTCCAATTATTTTCCTGCACTGAAGAAGCCATATACAAGCATCTCCCACTCACTGACTCTCAGACACACATTTATATGCAAAACAAACTACAGAATCCCCTGTGACCTCACGTTACAGTGTTCTGTTTTTGACTTCTTTGCTTTTGGAAGAATGAATATTCATGACGTGCCCATTCACAAACACTAAAAATTACCATGGGCATGAGGTGCTGATGAAAACAGAACCAGAATAAAGTGGCACAAATCAAAGACAGGTTCTAGTTAGGACCATGTTTAGTAAATACTGGTAAATGCCAGTTTCCTGAAGTCCTGGTACACAAGCCCACATTCTAATGGGAAGATGGCAGCACCCACAAATGAAATACTTGAATAAACCATAAGCCCAAAACATTTTCCAAAGTAAGATTCTCTGACTACTTTGTTCTATTTAAGTGGACAAATGACTTGCCCACAGACTCAGAAAACAGAGAATCAGAAAACAGAATCAGCCCACTGAATCATATCCTCCCTTAAAAACACCATACACAATTATCTCCCCAAAGTCTGCTTTTCTGTTGGAATTTAAAGTTTCCACAGAAAACTCCTCATGCAGAAAACATGTCTGCCTTCTGATAAATTAACTACACCATCATACAACCAAATTAGAGAAACTCTACTGATGAGGGTAGATGTTCTCTGAGATTGCAAGTATAAATGCTTCTAATTTATACTTGTGGTTTCATACTCACCAGGCTTCTTGGGTTCTCCCAGCCCTTAAAAAGAGGACAGTTATATAGTTCAAAGGGTTGGCTGGCCAATCAGGAGCAGTCTGTCTGGCACCCTGGCTTTCATAAGTAGATTTCATATCTGCAGCACAGTCAGCAAACGCCACCTGGAGCTGAGAGGCTCTGAGTCAGCAGAACTGCATAAGTGGTTTTACAGTTCTCTGTTCATGAGCTTTCATAGAACCATTACAATTTTTAAGCAATGCATTTCAACACATTACATGTATAGTACACAACAGACTGATGATCAAAAAGAAGTGCTGTGCCCCACGGTAAATAATTTGATTAGCTACATATTTCAAATCAAAGATTGGGTTTTCTTTTTAGATGGGAATTTAAAAGAAAAATACAAAGTGTTATTGTCAGGATGGAGAGAAGCTATTTTCATGTTGTTAGCTTTGGACTAGGGGAATGAGAGTGACTTTAGAAATGGTATTCCACTAATGGTTGAATATATTTAGATGGCAGAGCTCTCCACAATGATAGGGGAAATCAGGTAAATCACCTCACAGGGCCCTTAGCATTAGAGGATATAGTGGTCAGGATATAACCAAGCCTCAGTGTCACCTCAGCCCTACCTCTGGTGGGTGCCGATCCCTTGCCATGAGCATCAGGATTTCCTCTTTCAGTTCACTGCGAAAAGCGTGACCATATTCTTTACTATCTTGAAAGAAAAAAGTAATATAGTGAGAAGTGATGATTGTCATGTAAAACCAACATTTCTTGGCTGATCTCTGTCAATTGTCAACTGTCACCCATATTTTTTGGTGGGTGAAAATAAGTTGCTGACATTGTCTATTCCAGATTTGTTCCAGGATTCCAGAAAATCAGGAGAATGATTCATGGTAAGAATGGACAAAAGAGCATGAAAGCAAATGCCAATAACCTGCTCCCAGTAAAGTGCCAGATGCAGCACACACTACACTTAAGCAGACACCAGCCCCCTATGGAAGACCCCATTCTATAGCCCTTGGCAATCAATCAATCTTCTCCTATGTACAATCACCACGGCAGTCTGCTCAAGTAGTGTGGCAGGGCTGTGGGGCTACAGCCTCGGTGTCTCAGACAAGCAAACTGAGGCAGACAAAAACTAACTTTATATAGCCACACTTTTGGCTAGTTCTTAGAGACCTAAGTATCACTGTCTGGTTAGCAATTAGGCCACAGTGATGTACTGGTCTGGGGCATGGCGCTGGTTTTGGGGTTGGAGTCATGCGCTCACATTCAGGGCATGCCATGTAACTGGCACTGATCTCTCCTTTGTCATGTCACACAACAGGTCACTTTCAATACATTTTAATTCATGCAATCCAATATGAAACATGAACAAGTGACCCTCAAGGAGACCTCAACTAATGTAGGCAAGTTAGTCAAAAATGGAAGTTTTCATCCCTACAAACGTTAACATGTCTGTTAATCAAAATGTAGGACAATAAGGTGAGATGAGCTGGACATACAAGCTGAAACTGACCTTTCCAAATCTGAGGAATCACTTCTAGCCGGTTGGCCACATCCAGTGCTTGAAGAAGATCTATCAGTGTTTGGGAATGGGGTAAGAAGACCTGATTAAGAGAAATACAAATATATTTTTAAAGTGTTAATCAGCAACAATACCCACAAACACATCTTCAAGGAAATCTCTTACTGAAGGTATTAGGTCCTTGTACCATTTCAAGGTGACATCAATATGTTCCATTAGACAAAGCAAATGGAAGAACTTGGAACTGCAATGGAGAAAAGAGTTGTTTAGTCTAGAATCCCTAACAATAGGGGAAATAATTAAAATTACAGCATAGAATTTAAAAACAATTCCAAACAATTTCAAGTTACATGGGCTAATGCTTGACAAAGGAGGTGCTAACTTCTTTCTGGACCTTCCTCTCCTCAACTGGCAGTTCATGACTGCCTCCTCTTTCAGGTCACGGTGAGTAAAGTATCATTTTCATTTAAAAAGCATTCAATGTGAAGCAAAGATTTGGACACATAGAAGACAATCACCTATTAACAGGCTGCCTTCTTAAGATCTTGTTTTATCTGCCTAATACAAACCCATTTAAAGAGTCTCTTAGGGCTCTAATACTTTTCATCTTTAAAAACAAAAGAGCCTGTGAGGAAATCTTCAGGGATCCACCCAGCTACAAATTCAAAAATATAAAATAGGGCACAGAAAAAAAAGATAAGTGGATTTAAAGTGTTATAAAGGAAAACTGCTTAAAAGATACATAAGAGACATCTCAGTCTGGCAAATCAGTTTTACCACTGCTTGAATTTTGGAAGTGCTCAGTTAACATAGAGTGTTAAGTCAGGAGCATGCTGCCTGAAATAAGAGGTGAAACAGGAGGGCCACCAACAGCCTCCTGCTTCCAGAATCTACTAATGGTGCCCCATTAATGCAAAAGGATACACTTTCAACACACTTACAAATAGTATTTCTGCCTCTGATCAGGTCCAATGAATTTCCGGTTATCACCAGTGTTTAAAAGGCCATGTACTTGGTAAGCAAGTTCTAGATCTCTGAGAGATGAACACTGAAAATTTACAAGTAGTTAAGCATCATCTTATGAGCCAAACAATGGCTCATTACAAAAGGGAAAAAGCAGTTTTACTTGTGCAAATATTTATGCAGATTTAATGTATTGATGGACAGCAAACGAATTAAAATTAGGGGAAAAAACAAATTCTTAAGTTCTGTGAAATTTAAAATAAAATGATTTTGATCTAGTAATTATACCTTTAGAAAGTAATCCAATGAAAACACTTGGTCACTTAACGCAAAAGACAGAAGGAGTGCTCATTCCAGCATCATTGTACTAGCAAAAACCCATGAAATAACTCCAAGCCTAGCCTCAGGAGAAGAGTTAAGGTAAAGTGTAGCCCTTCCCTACTATGAAACACTGAACTGCAGTCAACAAACAAAGTGCCATGGAAATGTGCCTGGGAGTACATGTTTGAATACCCAGAGGAAAAACCTCAAGAGTACACACTACACTGTGGAGCAAATCATCCTTAGGAAATAGGATACGCTAACTCATTCTGAAATCTGTTCGGAATTTTTCCTGTAATTATCATGGCAAAATGAAAAGCCAAAATTAAAAACAACAGGTATCAAATAGAAAAGTTACCAAGAGACAAATATGAAATACTCTGAAACCTTGTCTGAATAAAGGTATGAAAAAGGATAATAATACATACAATAAACACAGAGTAGGGATGTTACATGACTTGGTACAGATTTCAGAGAAAGAGAGAAAGGAAAGGGGAGGAGAGGATGGAAGGAAGAGAGAGGGGAGAGAAGAGGGAAGGAAGGAAGGAAAAGATAGAAAAACATGAACATTAAGAGGGAGTAAAACAATCAGGAAGAGGCCCTCCACCAGTTACAGATAAATTTAGAAACTGAGTAAAAGGAAAAAGGAAAATGAACGTTAAACAAGAAACAGTACTTACAACTCTCATGGCTGACTGAAAAAACATACCTGAAAAAGGTCACAAGAGCCTTGGTTACTGTGGATAAACTGTATTTTCAAGTCAACTACATTAATAAAAATCCTGGCAACAAAACTGGTAATGTACGATAAACCTAAAGAAATAAAAACTCAGGAGGAGAGGAAGTGCACGGCCGAGTGCCACAGGCAGAGGCTTTCTCAGAATAATCACCCGAAAGATTACCAAGCTAAATTAACCCCCGTCCTCACCACAAGGCCTCTACTAACTGGCAGTCAGGAAAACAGGCTGTCTTCTTCCATAAGCAATTTCTGTACATACCATCATCTGGGTCCCTTGAAGAAAATTTCTTTCCTGTCAATTCGTTCATGATGTCGTAGATTACGGCACATGATTCTTTTGAAGTGAAGCCTGCAAGAAAGCAAATGGGTTTTACCACAAGTCACCTCCTGTACGAGCACCGCGAACAGAGCACCTAGTACAGCACCACAGTTCTCCTTTCTCCGCCCTCAGCATCAGGCCTGCCCAGCGCGGGTGTGCTGAGGAACTAACACCCCACTGAGAACAACCCCTCGGCAGCAGGCAGCAGCTGTGGGTCTGTGTCCACGGGCTCCCC